TTCTTATTTCACTTATATATTTTATCTTATCCTTTATCTCTTCATTCTTTTAATTATTGAATATTCAAAAATATTTATAAAGTTATTAAATATTATCTATATTTCACTTATATATTTTATCTTATCCTTTATCTCTTCATTCTTTTAATTATTGAATATTCAAAAATATTTATAAAGTTATTAAATATTATCTAATATTAATTTATACGTCAGCCATTATAAGTCCTTAAGATTGTAGTAATTGAAACTGCGGACGCAAGTTGAATGAAGCTGAAACATCCCCTGAGGCGTGTGATAGCACTGACCTTAAGGACTTATTCGCGGTATACGCGCAAGCCCCCCAGGATACAGCAGGGGCTTCTCAGTAACGAGGAGCAGAACTGACAGTCGAGGTTTTGAGAACTCAGAGAGAGGCAGAGAAAAGTATTCGGGTAGGTTAACAAACAAATGCCGCATCCTATATGTATAGAGTCTCAGTAACCCTAAAAGAATAAAAATATTTTCGAATACAATTATCACATGCGCAGGTGGGGGCAAATCGACAGATTTGAACTACAATAGGCTCACAAGGCCCATTCTCACGTGCGCGAACCCACTACCCATTGCTTGCCTCTTTGGAAGCTTAAGGAGCCCTTTAATATATAAAGGCTCTACATATAGGTGGACCAAGCAATGTGGGACTATTTCCTTTTGAAATATCACATATAAGTGCAACATTGGATACATAACTGCCATAAATTGAGAGTTTTACCTCTGAGAGTGTTAAGTGGTTTTATCGAAGTTTAAGTTAAGATATTAGTTTACTCCTATAATTTAATAATAAAGAAAAAATAAACTCAGATTTTTTTTTATAATTCAAATAACACAATTAAAAGTTGTTTAAAAAACCTTACGATTAAAGCTGCTGGTGCTGGGTATGAAATCACACAACGACATAACCCATATGAACCATAATCCCTTAGACAAGTAAAATCACACAACGACATATAATTCTTCTGTGTAACTAAACTTGATATTTTTTTGCTTCTTCTTCATCGTGGCATTGCATTTCAATCTCCTAGCAGTTGAAAAATCCACATTCTTCTTATCTAAGGGTCATCATTTTGTCATTGTTTATTTCTTAACCATAATAAAACTAAATAATTAAGACAAAACATGTAATTTTAAATAAAGTCGTCAAACACATTAATTACATGAAATATTGAAGCAAGATTCTCAACTTCAAGCACAACTACACTTATCAAAGCACAATTTGTGCAAAGCATTCTAGTGGAATTTGGGCATGAGCTTGTGTGCAAGTTTGCCGTACGTGCTCGTCGTATTGGAGCAAAGACATAATGAACATGACCTCTGAGGAAGGCAACTCGTGGAGTTATGATGAGACAAAAGCCAAGAGCAATTGACTCTCAATAAAGATTATTTAAATAGGGGAAAAGTTAAAACATAATAAAGAATTTGATGAAGATATATATATCTTATATCAAAAGGAATGTATTGAGTTGTATTTTTTTCTAAAGAGTCCTTTGTTTTAAGACTTGTTTATCCTAACTAGGTCTAGCTCATGGGGGGTAACCTAGGAAAAACTTAAAAGGATTTCCAAAATAAATATAAATAGTTCTTTTTATGAAAAAAAACTCATTCTAGATCATGAGAATCAATTTTCTTGGATTGAAATCAATTTCCACAAAATATAACTGACACTCTAGAGAATCATTTTTTGAACATAACTTCTTCGCAAGGATTTGATTTTCATGCAGAGGAGTTAATTCCCTCTCAAAAGAATCAATTATCTCGAGTAGAGATAATTTTTTAAATGGTTTTAATTATTTGTCTTTTAAAAAGATTAATTCCTTTACATATTGATTTTGAAATAAGATAATATCTTTTTTACCATAAGATTATTATTATATCATTAGAAATTATTTCTTAACTTATTTCTATCACTTGATTCCTATATAATGAAGAAGCTTTTTCTCTGGAAAAATGTACAATTAGAGAAAAATTATTGAGAAATAGGTTGTTCCATTGAGCTAAGGTTTAGAGAAGAGTATGAATCAAATAGTGTTTCAATTTGTATAATCTCTACTTTCAGGAGTTGCGTTAGTTTTTTACTTTTTTTGTTTGTGGAAATGAGTAGGTTCCTTTGGTAATTTTGTATGTTAGTAATCACTTAATCTTGTAAAAAGAGTTACTTATGATTCCCAAGGGTAGGTGTTCTGAGTGGTTAGAGTGAAAATGTGAGAAAATCATAATTTGGGTTAAGGGTGATAAATGGATGTAATGGATAAGTTTTTATATAGATTATAATGGATTGGATAAAAATAATTCATTTAAATTTATTAAACTTCACTAAAAGTTTTATTCATTTGATCTATTTAAAATAAAATATTCATTCAATTTATCGATTAAAATTTTTTTCATGAATGAGTTAAATACATTTTTATTTTTAAAATATTATTTTTCTCTTTTTTTATAAGTTATTACATTATTATATTTTTTAAATTTTCACAATATTTTTTTTATGTTAAAATAGTCTTTTAAAATCTCAATCTATTAAACATCTCATATTATAATTTAATGAGTTTTTAAAAAGTAATGAATAGATTACCCATAAAATTAAATGATGAATTAGATTCAATCTATTATTTATTTAAAATAGTCTTTTACATTAAATCACAGCCGCTTCACTAATTTTGAAGAACCTACTGAACTCGTTACATTTCACAACGATAAAAATAAATAAAATAAAAACACTTGAGGCATTGTGCCTATAGTCTGACTCTATCCCTCACTCTGTTGTTTGTAGCCCTTCAGTCCATAATGCTTACATGACTAGCAATAATGGCTTTGGATAAGTATTTTGATAATAATAACAACAAAAAAAAGAGAAATATTAGTGATAGATTCTTTTATTGATACTCTTTCTTGGTTTCAATTATAAATTTTGATGAGATTCATTAATTGTGGTATATAATCAACTTTAATCAATAATAAGAAGTGATGAAAAGAAAATATTAGAAAAAATATCATTAGAATTTGTCACACACATATGAGAATAACCAATAACATATATACGTATATTTATAGAGATGACTTAAATGAAAACATTTATTTACATGAGAATATAAAAATAATTAATAAAAATTCTTATATTAAAATACTATAAATAAAATTACCATATATTATTATTATCATTATTGTTTTCATTATTGTTATTGTTACAACTGTTATTATTATCATTATCATCATTACTGTTATTATAATTATCATTGTTACAATTTTTATTATTGTTATCGTTGTTGTTGCCATTAACACAATGTTACCACGACTATTGTGATAATTGTCGTCATTATCACTATCATCGTAGCATCACAACCACTATCAATACCAACACCACCATTATTGTCATTATTGTTATCATTATTGTCAATAATAATATAAAAAATGTAATGATAATAATAGTAACGACAATAACAATTACAAAGATGGTTAAGATAATAATGATAAAAATAATAATGATAATGATAATATATAATAATATTATTTGTATTATTTGTATTGTTTTAATTTAAATTATCTATCTTAATCTAATATTTACTATTAATGACTCTCATATTCTAATATAAACAAGTATTTTCACTAAAATTTCTTTTTTTCTCTCTCTCTATACATATAATGAAAAAAAATATCATAAATTTCATATATTAAACACCTCCGAATCCTAATAAAAAACCAGCTACATGTAAAAATATAATTAATTTTATTTTATACGTGGTTAAGAATAAATAAATGCAATTATATAATCATTTTAATAGTTTCGTGAGATTATTAAAATGTCAAATAGTAATTAATTTAACTCACAAATAGCTTATAGCATTATAAGGTTATAGACTACCATTATTTATTTATTTATTTTGAGATATTGACTCTCATTCATAGTTAATTATACGTGGAAAACATTAGTTTCGTCTTCCAAATGATAATTAGTAATAAATATGATTATATAATTATCATTAACATGTGATTAATTATGACAGGAGGATATTGAAATCAGCGATAGTACTTAAACTAGCAAATTAGTTAATAATGTCAAAAGATTATTAAAATATTTAATAGTAACTAACTTTACCTTATAATTCTTTAAAAAAAATCACCTTATAATTGATTTTAAAAAAAACTTCACTTTATAACTTATTAGTGTTAATCTTAACTACATAAATAACTATATATTTCTATTTTTATTTACTTTTAACTACTTATAAAATGAAATTAACCAGAATTTTGTACCTAATTAACCATTTTCTTTTCGGATTCATGCTTGGTGGACAAACCCAGGACGCTTATCAGTATTCATATATATAATATATTGATGATGCTGATACCTTAAGATATTGAACCATTGACTTTAAGCAATAAGATAATACATAAGTGTCCCTGTTCCCACAACAAATGGTGTTTAATTACTCACTCTGCAGTGTAGTGAGAGTCATCATTTGCTGAAACCTTAAGCCAACCAGCCCATTTCCATTGCCCCTCCCAAACCAACTTTTCTATTCATTCACCACACCCAGCCACCTTCAACTTTTCTAATTTAATTCTATTTATTCTTATATTTACATCCATAATGATTATCATACATATACTTGCATACTATTATCATCATAAACTATCACCCATGAATAAACCAAATTAGGGTAAGGATGCTCATCCCAAACTTTTATTCAACAATTTATATAATTCAAGAGGAAAAAAAGAGAAAATATTGTAAAAAATATGAGTTTATACTATAATCTAATTGAGTAATTGTCCACAGAATATATATAAAAAAAAAATATCCCTTCTTATTTTTTTTTGTATAGGATTAAAATTAAGACCTAATTACTGTAACTACTAATAAAAAGAAATCTTATTTTGTACTCTATAATTAATTATGATAAATTAGCAACGGGGGATCTTAGTGGGAGCATTATAAAAAAAATGTTGGAAATGTTTGTGTATTGAACCAATTATTATTAAGAACCTTAACCTTTGTAGACAGACAGACCCAAGCTGTTTTCCCTCCATTCTTGAAAAAAGCGTTGGGAGCAGTTTTTCCCATTCTCACAAAAATCAAAATCTATTTTTTATGCCAAACAGGATGGAAAAAGAGGTTCCCCCGGCAATCACCAACTCGTGGCAAAAGCAAAACCAGGTTTCTTTTTTCACTCATTTGTTTGAAAACCCAAAAAAAGGAAAAAGAAACTGCTGTTAATCTAGATCTTAAACAGATATATGCATCATAAAGCTTCAGTCAAAGTCCTGAGTCCTAACCCATGTAATGTGTTGTTTTGAAATTGACTTGTGGAGTAGGAGTTGCAGGGTAAAGGTGAAGTGGAAAAGGAAGAGGCTTTGCCTCTCAGCGTTACTTCCAAGGTATATTTTTCAATTGGGTTGTTTCTTCAATCAGAAAGATTGAAACTTGTTTGGTGAATGAATGCAGGTTTTGTACATGTTGGGAGACATCACAGCAGGGCCTGCGTTTATGTTCGCGCAATGGCTCCAATTAGTTCGTAAACGCACTTCCAACTATCGCTCCTCTGGCTTCCCACACCGTCCTTCCACCATGCCTTCTAGGTTTCTACATTTTCTTCTCCATCATATGCATTTGTGCCATTTTTTCGTCATTGTCATTGAGCATGTAATAATGTGTTAGCCACTTACTAAGGAGGTGTTTGGTTTGAGAAAACGGTTTTTTGTTTGCAATTCTCCTTTTCATGAATAATTACAAAAATGTCACATGGATATCAATTTTGGTTACTGTATTCAAAATTTTGATAGGAAGCAGCCAAAACAACTTGTGATCATTTCTTAAAATAAGAAGCAAAAATAGAAAGAAAGTGTTCTCTTAAACTAACCAAGTTTAAAGTTCGAGTAGTAAAAGGGGCATGCTGGAAGAGCTTTTTATTTTTGTTTTGAATTTAGTATATGCTTTGTGAAGTGGTTGACAAGGGTGATTTAATTTGTGTTCAGCCCGAGAGAATCTATTGAGGATGCAAAAATTGATCCGCAAACTGAAATTAGTCTGTGGGAGAGGCTTGGTAAAGCTGAGATGTTGGACATTGAATCAAGTTCCTTTTCTTGGGATAGGCTCTCTTCACTTCACCATACTGAACATACTAGCAGCAATGAACATTCTGAGGATGAAATGAACAAAGCTCTTGAGGTTTGTTATTTTTTCTATACGCATAATATTGTTTACTGTCACAAAATGTATAATGTCAAGGGCTTGTAAAGTTGTGTCAATAATATGCAAGTAGCTTCAATGTTTAAGCTCTAGAGAGTTAGATATACAGATTAAGAACATCTGATTTTTATTTGAGTATATTGATAATCATTAGTTTTTTTTAATGTTTATGAAGAACTGTAGTTATATATATATATATATACACACACACACATATATATATATATATATATGTATATATTATTTATTATTATTATTATTATTATTATTTGGTGCTTTCATATAGTATCAAACCTGTTAATTGATTCTTTTTGGGTGCTGAGCATTTCCTGTGTAGATGAGTTCACTTAAAATATCAGTTATGTTGTAATAAGTGCTCTTTCTTTTTCTTTTGTAGTACTCAAATGTGCGCATAAACTGTTTATTTTCGTTACTTCTGCCTCTTAGCTTCTTCTCAGTTGTGTGCACATAGGTAACAGTAAATTCTGGAGGGGTGGTCTTTTTTGCCTTTTTCAATGGCATTGGAAGTGATGATGTTTTTTCAAAAGAAGCAGCAGCTGTTATAAAGATATCTTCTTCAAGAATGGCCACACAATCTGAACGCCTTGGTTATGAATTTGCCAAGTGGTTGGGAGTCCAAACTCCGCAGGTTGATCTCTACTTTATTTTTATCGAATTGACTTTCAGAGTATATTTATGCCATATTCATCCTTTACTTCTATTTTGGAATACAAGGCTAGAGTCATCCACAATACCAGTATAGAGTGGATCCAAATAAAGGAAGCTACAGAAAAAGCAAGAGATGCAGCAATTTGTGCAGGTGATGAAATTGGTGAAATGACATGCACAGAACTTTTGGAAGCACTTGAGCTTAGCCGATGTCTCATGTTTATGAGGTGTGATTCAAATCTAGTGTTAATATGATAAGGTTTACACTAAGGCATTAGGAGATATCTTGCTTGCCTTGTTCTATCGATGATTCTTTGTTTCATGGCCATATTAATGCTCGACAGTTCATGCTTGAGCTTGATGTGGTAATTTCAAATTGTAGTATACAATCATATTATCTTATATTTGAGTTATGCAAATCATTCAACAAATGATATTTTCACATAAATTTCAATTTAAAAGTGTTAATTTCTGGCAATCACCAAGAGATAACTAACTCATTCTTTTGTGTCCTCCTCCATGTGTGATGGTGTGTAATATACTGTAAGCTGGAGCAGTATGAAAATTATGACATTTTTGTTCTGCCACTTTTAAAGTTAAATCAAATCTTGTATCACTATTTCCCAAATAAGCAATGAAAGCAATTATTATGGTAATTTTTTTCGTGCTAAAGCATGCGGCTGTTCTTCAAGATAACTTTTGATTGTTTATTCTAAGGATTCATCATTGTCTTGCAGTTATGTGCACGGTTCACCCTTGCTTGAGAGCTCTAGAGCATTTGAGTCTGAGGAATATGCAGAAAGAACATCATCAGCCCTTGGCAGGATAATGATGCTAGATCTTGTCATCAGAAATGAAGATAGACTCCCCTGCCGCCAACTTAGATGGCGTGGGAACTCTGCAAATTTGTTATTGACTGAAAAGATGATCTCTGCAAGTACGGATACAATGGGAGAATCTTTTGATTCTGCTATGAACCGATATGGATTGAGAGTGAGTAAGACATTTAAAAAAGAAAAAAGGTCAACCTCAGTAGACAGCAGATTGGATTCTCATAATCCTGGATTAGTATCACAAGGCTCTGGTCTTCCAGACATCATAGAATCATCAATACCCATTGACATCATGAGTCTTACAAGTCAAACGTCAGTAGAATCAATGCTTCCTGACTTTAACATTGTGGCTATTGATTCTGGTGTTCCTCGCCGACCCCCTGCTGGAAAACGTGCAGATGATCATGTTAATTATCCTAAGTTGGTTGAGTTAATACTCAATAGTTCTGAGTTTTCCTCTAACCTGTTACATGATATAACTGGAGGGAGATTAGGATGTGCTGCCCCAGAAGATGCAAATACTATAACTGATATTCATGCTGGAAATGTAACATCGGTAGTTCATGAGTTCCGCAGCGGTTTCCGTGCTGCTCTAAGAGATCTACAGGGATTCCATATATTCCTACTAACACTTCACCAAAAACTTGATAACTTATTAAGATCATTTATGAATGCTATAGGCAAAATATCATCAGGGGAGTCTGAAAAGGAGGATGCAGTGGTTCCGCACTCACCTTCACCAGTTGCTGCTGGTAATTGTCCCTCTCCAACTATTAAGGAAAGGTTTTCTAATGATATCCATCACGATTATAGTGATTCAGAATCCCAGAGAACTGCTCCAAGGGCATCATCATCTTCAGTCAATAGAGATTGCTGTGACTCTGCTTCTCCTGGGTCAAGAGAAGGTTGGCATGGAAAGCACAGTAAAGGAAGTGGGGAGTCACTTCGTGGTCTCCGCTTGACAGTTAAGCTCCGTGATTTGCATAAATTTGCCAAGGTTGGTTGCATAATCTTGTTTACTAATTCATGATTCTGGTTCTGCTGATGTAGTTGTAAACTTTTTTTTTTTTTTCTGGATAGATTATTTATCAGTCAGTTACACATTGTTTTGTTATGCAAAATAAGACAATTTCATTGCAAATCTATTTACACAAAATCAATTAATGTGAGCAGAATTTAAGACTCTAACGTGGATGTATTATTGTTACTTTTAAGAATGAGTGTGAATTTCGGTGGATCAGTTTCTGTATTGTTTTAGAAAAATGAACTCTGATCTTTTGCTCTTGTCACCTTATATAATTGATGAAGTTAAACTGCTTGACATAGATAGGTCACCAATGAATGGACAGTGGGAAATGTGTTACTGGTAATTCTATTTCCCCATGTTCTTCATGTGCAAATGTCATGCACAATCCTGTATCTCAAGATGATTGACAAATAAGAATATTGAAGTATCGTAACTAGCTGCCTTTGCCTAGTAAAACTGCATCTTACTGCACATTCGCTTTTTATCTCGTGTCTTAGACTTGATCATGATTTTCAGGTTGACTCTGAATCTAATAAAGAATTAGAACAATGGAATGAAATGCTTAAAAATGATGCAGTCAAGTTATGCCAGGAGAACAATTTCAACCCAGGATTTTTTGAGGGCAGTGATAACAACACTGCTGTTGATGCATATGAACTGAAGGTATCACAATTTAAAATAGTATGCAGAACTAATATAATTAACTCATTTCATTTTTGCGGGATACATATTCACAGAAAACGTTTGCTCCATTAACCTTCAGGTTAGACTTGAGCATATCCTTGAGAGGATTACATTGATATCCGAGGCTGCAAACACAGAGAGACCATCTGCTGTTACAAATAGTCTGTTCATTGGTGGAGCACTGGCTGCAAGATCTACATACACACTACAACACTTGGGAATCACACATATTTTATGCTTGTGTACAAATGAAATTGGTCAATCGGATTCTCAGTTTCCTGATCTATTCACTTACAAAAATTTCTCTGTAAGTTGTGATCATGTCTATTTTTTACCCCAATTATTCTATCAACTTATTTGCAGAGGTTTAGTTTGTGTGAAAATTAGCCGACTTCATGCTTCATGTGTGACTCTGCTTTTTTATTAATCATACATGCATTTTCATGCAGGATTTATCCAGTTTTTGTATTAAATTGGAGCCTTAGACTTTTATTTTTCTTACTGCAATAACTTCATGAGTTTCCAATTACTATCTTATGTTCCATTCATTCAAAAAGTTCAAGTTTATGATGCATGCTCATTAATGTTTTTTATCTCCAGCACCACCCTTACATGAAAGATCTTTGGGCTTCATGTGTAGACAAGGCGCTAGTTTTATCTTACCGTGCTAAAATTTATTTTTTTGGTCTTTAGTCTGGAATCCTTACATGCAAAAATGTGAGATAAACCCTCAGGTCAGGGCAGTAGCTAGAAAAACTTTTCCCAAATGCTTGAGCTGTTAGCTGCTACTTCTGGTCCATGAAACTATAGATGGTCTTTTCCTCCCTCTTTTTCTATAGTTCCCTTTTGGAAGATATTTGATTGATTTGAAAAATTGATCTCCTTTGGCTGATAAGAGTATTTTCTAGTTGAGGTTGCCCTCATCATTTTCTCGTTTAATCATGTGACATTAGGTATTCTGTTTGATATAATTCATGCTTGTTCTTGTGACTATCTATAATTTTTTTTTCCTGTTAGTTATGGTATCAATTGTATTTTTTAAATAAGTTTCTATTCAGGAATAATTCTTCACATTGGTTTTGTTAATTCCCCATTTGAACAGGTGTGTGACAATGAAGATTCTAACATCAGCAGCATATTTGAAGAGGCTTGTGATTTTATAGATTATGTTGAGCAAACTGGTCAGAGTGTTTTAGTTCATTGCTTTGAGGGGAGAAGCAGAAGTGCCACTTTGGTCCTTGCTTACCTGATGTTGAGGAAGTAAGTAAAAATATAAATACAATCTTATATATGGTAATTGTAACTTGTGTTGCCAAGGAGCTGGCCCTCCAAAACCAATCAATTTTACAATTTTAATTAGACAATCGAATCTTAACTGCAAATATTATTAGATACAGTTTTTCAGTAACTGAACTATTTATTTCCATGATTATAAATTATGTATGATTAGGTGCTATGAAGTATTATTTAGTATGTGGAACACTTGAAACTCTGTGTTCCTTCATAGTTGAGAGTATTATTGCTACTAATACTTGGGAACAGTCTTGGAACTAAAAGTTTTCGTGACGTAGGAAATTCACTTTATTAGAAGCATGGAATGCTCTGAAACGAGTTCATCGTCGATCACAGCCCAATGATGGTTTTGCAAAGATCTTACTGGAACTGGACCAGAAACTGCATGGGAAGGTTTCAATGGAGTGGCAACAAAGGAAACCAATGATGAAAATTTGCCCTATTTGTGGCAAGAATGCTGGATTAAGCAGCAGCTCGCTTAAACTCCATCTTCAAAAATCACATAAAAAGTTGTCATCAGGGAGTGTAGATAGTGCCATGACAATGGAGATCCAGAAGGCTTTAACAGCTTTGAAGGTTAGCCGTGGTGGAAGTGTCAGTCCCACACAAAAACAGTCTCATTCAATGATAGATGGATAGATTGCTCTTGCAAATGTTGAGGAACATTCATTTAAGATTTTGTTTTCATGTTAGAAATATATTGGGACAAAATTTAAGCAACATAAGCAGCTATAGGAGTGTGAGTAAAATAGCAGTTTTGAAGTGGGATTGATTGCTTAGTTTAGTTAGTGGCAAGATTTAATGTAGTTAGATACTTGGGTTTGATTTCTTGTTGAATATATAAAAAAAAAATGTTAAGAGAGACAAAACTTACTTGGTTGATCTCTACCTCTTGTAAAGAAATAGTTTTTTAATTATTGATTTGAAAGACAAAAAAAAAGAAACTTTCCATATTGAATATCTTACTATTGAAGGATTTCAAACTGATTTTTTTTAATTATTTTTTTTGGTCCAAGCGGTTTAAGAGGTGGGGAACAAGGGATTAGGGCACTTTTTTAAGGATTGTGCTGTTGAAATCTTGCATTATGATATTGTTGTATTATTTGTTAGTTATTAAAGGTTTAAGTCTTGCGTTACTTGTCATTGGAACTTATCAAAGTTTTTACACGTTAACTTGTGTTTGGAGCTTACAAACAAGATAGGAAAGAAGGATTGGGCTTGTGCGAACGAGATCAAGCAGAGTTGATCTGTTACAATGCAAATCCACTTTTTCCCTCCCTTGTGTGCACGATGATTTGCCTCACATTTTAAACCTTATCCTTTTTCTCTTGCTATTTGGTCACCTCGTATCTGAATAGGGAGAACCTATTACATTTTAGGGAATTTGTGCATCACGCTGAATAATTATTAAGGTTAATGCAATGTCACATATTCGAGTTTTGTTCTGTTAATGACTTGTGGGTTTCATCTGTACTACATTGGATTGAAATGGACAATAATACTCACGTCAAGATTCATTCTCCCAACAACGGTGCACCTATCAACCAAAACAACACCTTGCTCCTCCAATACACTCATGCTCAACCCTTTCCAAATATCCAAAAGACTGGTGTTCAACGACCAAAAGTTTTGGAGGTGGCAAATGGACTCATTTATCTTCATATAAAAGATGAACTATCCTATAATACAATTTCTTAATTGATGAGATTATTTTATGATATTTGTCTGAGAGGATATTTTATGAGGATTATTTTTATAAGATTATTTCACACACAACTCTACAATGATAAGATATTGTCCGTTTTGGACCTAAACTCTCACAATTTTACTTTTAGTCATCATTCAAAAGGTTTTCCATTCATTGGAGTATGTTTGTGTTTTATGAGTTATTATTTTTTCTCTTATTTTATTGATGTGAGACTTGTTTGTATCTCTATATTAATTAAGACCCATTTCTCTATCATTATGATGGGGAGGGAAAAAAAGCAACATTAAAGAGAAAAATGGATGAAAACAAGCGGACAAAGGCTTTTGCAGAGCACTACAACACCTAATTACCTATTATGCCTTTTTCAAGTGTAAAAATGGATATAAACAGGTTGACAAAGGCTTTTACAACTGTTTTCTTCTTTTCTTTGTTTTCTATTTTGTTTTGCTAATTTTTTTTTTGTCTCTTCTTTTTCATTTCCTTTTCCTTTGTTCTTTGTCAAAAGTTCAGGACCAGTTTCACTTTTCCAAATAATAAGTTCTTCCAACATTTTCGCCCTCCTAAAGAGCTCCAAATTAACTTTTGTTATAACAATTGGGAACTTTCTTTTGTTGAAAAGCAAATCAAGTTTTCTTTCCTTGAGAAGTTCTTCATAGGCATTAGCATCATTAATCAAACCACTTAACGCCATTATAACTTTCTTCATATGACACTTTCGTACTGTTCCGGTCTATAAATCTTAATTGCCCATTTGTCATTTATAAATCGTTAAGTTAGATTGGATTAGCCTAAAAATTAACATGTCACATAACAAATTAACGGCATCCCTAAATGATGCGTCTAAATTGATTCTTTAAGACTCCTTTTGGATGAAAGGTGTTTTACTTTCAACTGTTGAAAGTTCAATTCTTGAGAAATAACAAAAGGTCAAACTTACAATTGTTTATTAGAATTTTAATTGTCCTTCATTCTCCTAGAGTGCATAAAAACTTCAGTTTTCCCAATATTCTTTATAATAGCGATGCCATTAAACTTGAGTAATTAATCTTCAATTGTTTGAAATTTTTTTTAAAAGGTTTATTAGGGGAATAATTAGCTAACGTTAAGTTGGCTAAATTTACCAAAAAAAGAATATTGTATATGAATTTATCCTAAATCTGAATCTAAATCATTTATTAATAGGAAGGGGTTTTAACCTATATACTAAGTTGGGTTATTAAAGATAATAGTAAAAAAGGAAAAAATAGTAAGTGCCACTGGCCACGCATGATGCATCGCAGGGATATATATCTAGTTTAGTTTACAGTAATGCTGGGATATTACATCATGGTCGAACCAGTTAAAACATAAAAGCACCCAGCTCCCTACGGAAACCTTCATTGATGCACACTGTCCCAAATACGACGCTAATTTTCAGTTTTCCCCGGTATCCCCCGCTACCCCTTTTTTCTTGAATTTGTTTTTGTTTTTGCTTAGCTATGGGAAAACATTAGGCCTAACCAGTGATCAATTAAAAGGATTTTAGGTACATTGACAGTAAAACATACTATGACTATGGCTTAAACAAATTAAGTACATAGTTATAGCTAGGTAACCGCATTATACAGGAAGTGCCTCAGGTAAGGACTCCGGGGTTCCACTGCTACCATTGAGCACAATCACATTACCATCAGAATCAACATCCACTATAACAGAGTCTCCCTCTTTGATCTCTCTAGCAAGCATCTTCTCAGCCATGCTGTCCTCCAAAAGTCGCATTATGGCTCTTCTTAGAGGCCTGGCTCCATAACTAGGATTGTAGCCTTCCTCAACCACTCTGTCCCTAAATCTTTCTGTTACTTGAAGTTCAATATCTTTCACCTTCAGTCTGTCAAACACCTCTTTGAGCATTATGTCAGCAATCTCCTTCACCTCCAGTTTGGTGAGTTGCCTGAAGACAATCATTTCATCCAACCTATTCAAGAATTCTGGCCTGAAGTATTGTTTTAGCTCCTCAGTCACCAAGCTCTTGATTCTGTTATAACTGCTATCCTTCTCATCGTAATCCAGATCAAATCCAATTCGGCGGCCTCCTTTCTCAATCACACTGCTTCCCACATTTGATGTCATTATGAGAAGCGTGTTCTTGAAATCCACAGTTCTGCCCTTACTGTCTGTTAGTCTTCCATCTTCCAGGATCTGAAGCATCATGTTGAATACATCAGGATGGGCTTTCTCGATCTCATCAAATAGTACAACAGTGTAAGGACGGCGCCGAACTGCTTCAGTCAATTGGCCACCTTCAGTGTAACCAACATATCCAGGAGGTGAACCAATAAGTTTGGAGACAGTGTGCCTTTCCATAAATTCACTCATGTCAAGCCGAATCATAGCTTCTTCAGAGCCGAAGTAGTATGCAGCCAATGCTTTGGCCAATTCAGACTTTCCCACACCAGTGGGACCAGAAAAGATGAAGCTGGCAATCGGACGATTAGGGTTCTTTAATCCAACCCTAGCTCGACGGATAGCTCGACTAATGGCTTTTACTGCTTCATCCTGACCAATGACTCGCTTATGTAAGGTCTCTTCCATTTTGAGGAGGCGATCAGATTCATCTGTTGAGACTTTTTCAACAGGAATACCAGTCCAGGATGATACAATATGCTGTATGTCAGCTTCAGTCACAATAGGACCTTCGTCCCCGGCCTCGCTCTCTGCCTTGCTCATCTCCTTGCCTTTCTCTACAAGTGTTGAGATCTGTGCCTTAAGATCCATTTCTTTATCTCGTAGCTCTCCAGCCTATTCAGAAACTCACATATCAACAACCCACAAATTACTGGCAGAAAGAAAATTGTACATCTGACAAAGGAACCAATCATTACACTGTTTTGTTCTTTTTGGTGGAGAGGGGGCTTATACAGTTATACTGCTACTACAACATTCTTTAAACTCAACAAACCTTCTAGAATCAGAAACCAACTTACAATTATATAATTATAATTGATAAAAAAAAGCTAATAATTCATATTTGTAGGGTTTACTTAAACAAAAGCATTACTTCCCTTATTCAAGGTAGTTGAAAATTTCCCCAAACATGTTCAATAAAACTTTACATGTTAAATCATCGGTGAGAACATTACCTTTTCAAAGTCTTGGTTGCGCACAGCTTCTTCTTTCTCCTTAATAATCTGCCTGACCTCCTTGTCAAGTTCTCTCGCTTCTTCAGGTAGCTACTCATAAAGTTACAGCCCAAATTAGCTAAATAATAGAAGCTAGAACTGCTAGTTGAAGCCTGAAGGGTAGACAAACATCATACCTGGGCATGTTGAAGCCGGACTCGTGAACCAGCTTCATCAATCAAATCTATAGCTTTATCAGGCAAAAATCGATCACTGCATGGAGAACATTATCATATACAAGGGAAAATATTTGGTTAACATATACAGCTAGTAAAATAAACAGAATGGCATGAGCATTTTGATTAACATAGATATAACTCAAACAGCTAGTTTCCGATATAAATATAAAACAATTCAAAGAGGATTGCTACAGCTACAAAATTCCAGAAGTGTAACATATACATCAGCTTAATTCAGTTGAAAACATCCAATTTAAACATGCGACATTGAAAAGAAACTTAAATGTCCATATGCATAAATGACATTCGATATCAGAGAAAAAGCAGAGAGATGAATCATGACAAACCTGATATACTGGTACGACAGCTGTGCAGCAGCTACAAGAGCCTCATCGGTATAGCGGAGCTTGTGGTGAATTTCATATCGTTCTCTAAGTCCTTTCAGTATTTGTATAGTTTCATCTACAGTTGGCTCTGGCACTTTAACTGGCTGGAATCGTCTCTCCAAAGCTGGATCTTTTTCAATGTGCTTCCTGTATTCATCTAATGTTGTGGCTCCAATACACTGCAGAAATATTTAAATGAACACTTCAGTACAATACCAGAAGTAGAAATTAAAATAAAATATATTAAATAATCTACATTCTAGTATTCTACAAGATGTTCCTTATTGCAAATTCAGTATAGGCATAAGAACCTTCAAAATAGACCTACAACAAGCATTATGCAATCTATTATCAACCCAGATTCAAACTGATGGAAATGCCAAACTTGAAATTTTGGATTAAAAATTATAATACTAATTCAGAAACTTCAGCACATTCTTTAATTCTGACTACAAGCCAGCGACAACTCCTGACCATATATTAGACTGACTAGATGGTGAACTCATAGCAGACCTAT